TTGAACTTTTCGAATCCATGTCATACCTAAACATAACATTGGTTCAGGTTCACCATTATTAATACAAGCAAAATTTCCAGTAGCTGTAACAATCTTACCATCTTTGTCCTTTACACTAATTGGCACATCTGTATACCATTCTAATGATTCAAATATATGTTTGGAATTACCCTTTATAGCAAAGTCAGAAGGCTTATCAGCTTTCCACCCCAGAGCGTTAATTGTTGCATCATTTACTCCTCCGAATTCACTCACGCTATCTAAAAAGGAATTAGTGATCAATAGATCATTTATATTACAATGCAAGTATTGCAATGATGAAAACCATTCATCTGATTTTGATTCTTTTTCCTGGACTATACAGTCAAGGAAATTTCCATATTTGGTATTTCTAAATTAGGGGATGATCATTATTTTAAAATGTTCTAGAAAATTTTCGATCACATGCAATCTATCCAATCATCGCTTACCTTACAAAATCGTAGCGGTAGCTTACCTTACAACTTGACTTAGCTTTACCGTTACTGCTTTTACAACTAAAAATATTTTTTTTTAATATATATTTATTATTCTTTTTATTAGCCGGGCTACTATTAAGTGCTCTTATTACACGTTAGGTATAGAGCGATGAAGTTGTTAGATTTGATCAAGCCGGTGGTAGTCTGAACAAACTGTGTCGTCAGGTAACAATTTAGCACCTAATTACTTCACAGCATTCAAGAAGACTAAAACGAATGATCTTATAATATAAATTGAAATTTTAAGGTGGCTACATGATCACAATTTAGATCTGCTTTACCATTTTACATGTGGATAAAATACACTCTTAAAATAGAGCACGAAGTTTCATTTGGTATCATATTTATTAAAATAATTTAGTTATTTAATTTTCTGATTCCGATTCATCTTCAAGTTCATCTTGGTTGTCTTGCAGGTTTCTAATACTTTGTAAGATCTCTCGCAATTGGCCACGATCTTTTTGCTGTAAACCACGATACTTGGAGCGATCTGAAGTATTAATAGAAGGCAGTAGTGAATTTATAGTTGTCAAAAGTTCTCCTTTTGACATATTTTCTTCACTCATTGCTGCCTCTTCCTCTTGTGTAGTAACAGGTATTGGCCGTGGTAAGCTTGACTTGTTATTTTTAAAAGTTTCCTTAATAAATGCTATTCGTCTTTCACATGCCAAATTGCTAAAATTTTTTAATTGTTCACTAAGTGAATGCTCTCCTTCAAGACTCTCAAACCTGTGATTATCATTTTGAGGATTTAAAAATCCAGTTTTTCTCAACTGAACTCTAAATCGCTGTGATTCTGAAGTATAGTCAGGGCGTGTCCGGCTTCCTGAAGATTCACTTTCTGTATGCCCAATCATATCAAATAACATGTGACGCAGCTAATTTATTATTTATATAACGATAAGTATTTATATACAAATTTTTATTTTTTAATCTCAAAAATAATTTACTAACCTTTATAAATTTTGTACAGTTTCGAGCTGCTATATTCCAATGTCGCTGTGAGGGTATAGGTGGAATTAAGGCCTTCAAATATTTATTAATTTCCTCGAGAATGGCATCAAGGCCTTGATGTTGATTACAATAGCCTGACCGTGAAATAACGGAGTATGATTCTACAATATTTCTGATTTCAGGATGTAATCGTAATAATTGCCCTTCATAATCAACCTCAATATAGCGATATATAGGATGTCTACGACTAGACCAAATTGGAGCAAATATACGCCTAGCAGAATTTCTTAATGATGGCCTGTTATTTCTGACTCCTGTACGAAAGTTGACTATTGCCTGAAGATAGACAAACGTCTACAACAATATTTAATTATTATATTGTTATGAAATTTTAAGTTATAATAATTTGATTAAAATATTACCTGCTCAAATTTTAATTTATAAATACTATCATCTTGTTTTTCTACCCAATTTAGATAGCCGTCAACTGAAGGGTTTTCAGTTTCAACCATATATGGCCATAGCAATTCGCAAGTCATAGCGTGCCTGTAAATATTGCAAATTGAGTCCCATGATTTATGGTGGTCAGTACATTTTTTGAAAAACCTGAGCTGATTTTCTGTTCTATATCCTTGACGGATAGCAAATTGTTTGATATCGACAGCCCTAAACGAGAATATTTAGGTTAAAGAGAATGAAAGAAAAAAAAAAAAATAGAATAATGATTAAAACGAGAAAAAAAAAAACCAATTTAATTCCACAAATGCTTTAAGCATATTCATTTCTTCGTGTAAGGCTCCAGGAATTAAGACTAACCAAGGAAAATCTTTTTTTATTTTTTGAGCTAGATTATAAGGAACCCCATCACAAACAACAGGTAACCATTTTCGCCCATCTTGGTTTATTTTTGTAATGCTTTGTATGTGCTCTAAAACTTTTTTAATATTATTTATCGAATTAGGGTTTAGTCCTAATGGGTCCGGCACGTACATTTCTGGAGCAACAACATTTTGGTCAGGTTCAAGTTTTTGCGTAATACTAATATGTTCAAAGGATGAAGTTTTTTGTTTGTAAGTAAAAGTACTAGATGTACTAGATTTTATTATGATAGGTTTTAATTGAGAGGTCGTATTACTAATTTGAACAGACTCATTAGTTGATTCTGCTCGTAATGCGGCTAATGTGTCTAGCTTTTCATTGCAGTTAGGGCAAGTACGTTTTCTATTATCGATGTTTGTTGTATTACATTTTTTACACCATTTCGATTGACTGCCAGAACCTTTTTGATTATTTATTATTGTGTCAATTATATTCGATTCATTATTTTTTTCGTTAATGAGTTCGTTTAAAATTGACGACAAATATGTATTTAATTCCGATTCACATTCTGTTTTCATTTCTGGTGTGGGATAATATAGTTCTTTATATTGAAGATCATTTAATAAATCATAACACCAGGGATTTGTTGTAAATTGAACTAGATTTTTTTTATCTATATTTAATGCAACAAAACTTGTAACTGTATGATAAATTACAGTATTATATCCTCGATCAAGATAATTGTGTTGGCCCCGTTGTTCATTATCGAAGGCTAAAAATAATAGCCCTTCGGGTATAGGCTCTTGTTCAATTGCAAGTGACTCTAACCAATTAATAAATTTTATATAACTTCCAGAACTAATAACGTGATTGTCAATATCAACAATTGTTTTGGACCGTGCCAATGAGTACTTAATTGCCGATAAGGTTAGATTTATTTCTGACACATAATTTTTATGCCTTGACCCATAAATTGCATCAACTGCGACTACTTTTTTGAAGAGCTTTTCCTTTAAAGTCGAGTCATTATTACTACTCTCATTATTACGGGTGAGAGCTTCAATAAAGTTAACAATAACTGGGTTACGATTAGCTAACCAATGATTCGGTGTAAAATTTAACAAACTATTAAGAGAAAATCGATCTTTATTTAAAATTAATGAATCAATATCATTATAAACATTTTGACGTTCTTTATTTGCAATTTGAATAATCGAATCAATCCTTTTTTCTTGATTACTAAATCGATTTTCCCACTTTAATAATAAATCATTATTTTGATTAATCAACTCCTGACATAATTGATTTATTCTTTGATCGCATTCCCAACTCTCAATTACATAATCATACGCATAGTCTAAGTGTTTTCGAAGATCTTCTATTTCACTTATTTTTTTATTTAATTGCTCTTGAAGTACATATACATAATTTTCAAGTTCTTGAATTATAGATTCAGATGTTTGTATACCAACCTCACAGAATTGTTTTTCAATCTGTTCACTAACTTGAATGCCAATTTCACAAGTTTGCTTCTCGATAAATTCAGTTTCAAGATCATGACTTTCAACTTGCCGTTTTGGATTACGCCGCTGACTATTTAAATTTAAAAGATGACGGTGAAAATAATCAGAAGCTATGAGTTGATTATAGTGCCGTTCATACATAGAATAGTCTTCTAAATGCGTCTGAATTTCAATCAACTCAGGAAAAAAAGAATTATATAGTGGAAGCCGATTTTTAGACGTTGCAGAAT